CAACCAATAGTGTACAAGGGAAAAAAAAAAGGTGATGGTAATCAAACATGATGCCTGGCTGTAGAGAAATACCCCTTCCTCCTTCCTTCCTAAGACCCCTCCTCATTCTTTAGGCCCCTCCCCTGCCCCAGCCCTGCCATCCACAACCATTTTCCCTATGCCCTGGACTGTGGGTATGGCCTCTTCAAGGAGTGGCTATACAGCAAGTAGAGTCCTTAAGGGACAGAATTACTGTGCCATTTTAATAGTTTTAAATGCTACTTAATTACTTTAGTAGCTTAGGCTATGGAAACAGCTAATAGTTGACATGCAAGATAAAATCTTCAAGTTTAGAAAAAAAATATCAGAAGATGTAATTAACACATCATAGCCTGTGACATTGTTTCATTTCCAGCTGCTTAAAGACAATTATATTGGTGACATTCAGAAAATGAGGTCACAAAATAATGCAATTTTTATTAATTAAACTTAAGAGTTTTAATGTCCCATTAAAAAGCAACTAATAAGCGCAGGTCAGGTGACTCAGGTGTCACTTCTGTCATCAAGACACTAATACTTAAAAACTTAGAGACAAGACTTCTGAAAAGGCATTCACAGCATGGCCTGGAGCATCGCGACCCAGGTCAGGAAGGTTAACAACCTATATGTCAATCACAGTCACTGGGGTGGGCTTTAATGAGGCCCAGGTCTGATGGTTTTCACATCTGCAAAACACGATAGGAGAGAAATAACAACACATTAGGAAATCAGCAAACAATCACTGTATTGTTTTTGGAAACGGAAGATTAATAAGAGTTTAAAATTCAAATGCTTTTGGTGACAGGAAGGTAATATAAAGGTGAGAAGAGACTGGAGATAGGAAAACAGGAAGGGGCTGCAACTATTTAACTTGGGGATGCATACCCCACCCCCCCATCTTTTAATTCTTGTAAAATTTTTAAATACAGTGCTGGTCAAACAAATTCAGGGCCTTTTTTTACCTTCGAGATCACCGGTTTGAGGCCCTTAACTTTTACCAATATCAGGCCTAAGGCCTACACTCCCGGGGTTTGTCATTTTGGGGTGGGACTCTAAGTCCTAAAAGAGTTAACTGCCCAGAACAGAGTCGTTTAACCATTAAAAGTGATAGGGCAGTGGGCAGGCAAGTCAACAGTATAAGTAAAGTTTACAAATGTTTCAACAGCAATTGGAGCACCAGTTAACATGGGAACAGGAGAACGGTAACTTGACTTGAATATAGGACTATGGCTCCTTAAACACCCCCTTAGTAGGGGCTGGACTGGGAAGGTGGGTCAAGGGGCCCTGTGCCTAAAACCTGGAAGGACACACAGCATAAAGCTAAGCTCCCTGGGACAGATGCCACCATAAAGGTGACATGAAAAAGAGTTCAGTATTACTCTATTTAAGAAGTAAAGACATTTGCTTCATCTTTGACTCTTCACAATGACTTTTGAAACTTTCTATCCCCCGCACCCCCCCTACAAACACACCAAGGTGCAAAAGTAGCCAAAACCCGCCATACATTAAACATCGCACTAGTAAATGACACTTCATTAAACAGTGCTTAATTGTTTTATTTGCAAACGTCCACATTTCTTTTTGAGAGCTATGAGTACTATTTGCAAAATGCAAATTCTAATAATATGCACATTTTTCAAACCATTGTTTTGAACCTCTTTAAAATGCAGACACAAATTCCGAAGAGAAGAGGGGTCAGGGTGGCAAGGTGGGTAAAAGGGGCCTGGGGACTTACTGAAAGGTGTAATTATGATTAGCACACGTTATTCATAGATTGTATACTTGTTGGGGGCTTGGGGGGAGGGGTGATTGGTGGGGTGTGACAGGTTTTTGGGAGCCAGTGCTTCCAAATGCCCCTGTAACACTCCTGGCTCATGGTTTCTAATATATGGAACCAGGTTTTAAAATTTCTTCATTTAGTTAGAAACATAAATAGCGGATTGGCAGTTAGCTATAAATTTGTTTTATATAGATATTTTTAAATGCCAGCTAAAACCTTCAATCTATATTTTCTCATGTAACCACTTTGTTACGTTACACAAATTTTAAATGACAATTATGTACCATTAAATAATCCACTTGCCCCAAATTTAAATAATTAGCTTTTGCTTTTTAGTTTATAAAAAAGCTAATTATTTTGAGTGTTTTGAATTTAGTTGCTTTGAATTATAATTACCGCTTACATTATTGGAGCTTAAAAATGTTTTTTTTTTTTTAAAGATCCTGTTGAATGAGAGAGAGATAAGGCAAGCAATGTCTTGGACAACCCAGGACAGCAAAACACCATAGGAAATATCCAGGAGCAAAAAACCAGAACACAACGGCAGACACCAAGGAAGACACTGAATAAACCAGTTTACTCTGGTCATTTAACACTTATTTGTGCCTACAATGTGTCAGGCACAATTATGTAGGCAAGTTAGCCAGGGCTAATCCCCTAAAATTCCAAGAAAAAAATCCAGATAAACACCTCATCCTTGCTCAGAGGCCAAGCCAGTAGCACCAACAAAGTCACTTAAAACTCCTGCGAAACAAAGTTCAAGTTGTTCTTTATTTTGTAGCCACCAAAGCATCTGATTCCAGTACGTCCCACCACAAAGGTCCACTAGTGTGTCAAAAGAACTTGAGTTTTTTAGTTTTAAAAAATTAAATTTTTAATTTTAATTTTTTAAGGTTTAAAAAATCTTAAAATTTAATGATGTTAAAAGCATTTAAAATATTTTTTCATTTGCAGTAAAAACGTTTAGCTAGATTGCCTTTAGAGGCGCCAGCCACGTCAGCTTGGAAGCACCCTTCATAAGCCACTATCAGGAGTTTAAATTGTGGGATTATGTTGTTTAACATATGCAAAGTGCTTATTAATGCCATGTATAATTATTATTGTTGTTAATTGTCCTTATTTATTTTTCTTATATTTATTAGACACTGGTGGATAAAAAGCAAAACCGGCGCAGAAGAGAAACCGCAGCAGCGAAACCGCAGGAGAGCTGGGCTGTGCAGCCAGGCGCAGGCAGCGAAGACGCAGGCGCAAAGGAGGGGTACCTGATGGGAGGGGTACCTGATGGGAGGGGTGGGGGCCCACACTGCGCAGGCGCAGGTGGGCCCTGGGGAGGTGGGGCCATAGGCCAGCCCAGAAGAGGCTGGTTCAGGGCGGGGCCAAGTTTTGAGAGGTGCGGTCTGGAGGAGCCACTCCAGAGAAGGGGGGCTCAAAGGGAGGAGGGGTCTAGAGGAACCGCCTCAGAGGAGGCGGGCTCGGGGAGGCGCGGGGTCTGGGGAGGCAGGGTCTAGAAGGCGCGCTCTGGGAAGGCGCGCCGCAGAGGAGGCGCGCTCTTAGTAGGTGCTGGGAGGTGCTAAGCCTGTTCCTAGGAGATACTGCAGAGAAGGCGCGCTAGGATGGGCGGGGCAGGTCTGAGACTGGCTGCATGCCTCTCCCAGGATTCCCCCCTCCCCAAGCACCTCCCACCAGCCTCCAACAGGCAGATTCATTTCATGCAACAAGAGCAATCACCCCCAGATCCAATCCCCCCACCACCACCCCGCGCCTTCCAAGACTAAGCAAACCAGTTTCCACAAACTTGCTGGACGCCAATTCGCGCCACCACTACAACTATACCGCCACTTCAATCAAGCGCAACTAGGCAAGGCAGCCCGCTCTGCCACCACCAAAAGATTTTTTACGCTCAAGTCAGCGCCCTTCCACTCCACTGCCATAGCAGGAGTGGTGTGGGCAGAATGTTAAACACTAATTTTTGCCCAGGGCTCCATTTTGTCTAACAGCAGCATCATGCAGAGAACCGTCCTGTAGAAAAACATAGTGGGAGCCATTCCAAAAGGTGTGTAAGAGACAAAGGGTGGGGTTCCGCCAAGAAGACAGAGTAATCTTACTCTTCAGTTCATGTGCACTTCAGCTGGTTTCTTTGTAGCGCAAAACAGTGCAGCTTGTGTACCTCTGCAGCTGTTATTACTTTGTAGCGCATTTTAGGTGTAAATTGTTCCGCAGCTCATGTACCTCTGCGGTTCCTGTGTCTTGGAGCGCAATGAAGCGCTGTTGTCGTGCTAGTCGTTATCATTTTTGTAGAGCTGATCTTCTACAGCTCAGATTTTGTAGCGCATTTAGAGCGCAAATCAGTCATCAGTCTGCGGCTCACATATCGTTGCAGTTCATACTGGTTCTAGCGCAAAGAAGCATCCATCAAGTCTGTAGCGCATTGAAGCGCCCATCCGTCCGTAGCGCATTTGAAGCGCTCATCAGTTTGTAGCGCATTTGAAGCGCCAATTAGTTTGTAGTGCATATCACTTTGCAGCGCATTTGCAAATTGGTCTGTAGCTCATGTCCGTCTACAGCTCATGTTTGTCCGCAGCTCATATGTGTCTACAGTCCGTATCTGGACTTAGGTTCTGGAAATCAAAGCCCTGAAGGCTAGGTTTCTCCATGCAGTTTTGGGGCACAGCCAGTGAAGGCGTGACAAGGTGTGCGTGGAGACATTCCAGGCGCTACTCCATCTCCCGCAGCTTCCGATAAGAAGGGGGGAATGAATGTGATCTTAAAAAAAAAAAAACATCCTCACCGCATACTCACCACGCGAGGACTCCTCTGCGAAGACACTAAGGACGGGGTCCCACACCTGTGCCAGGCGTGGGCTCCGCTGGGTGCTCGGCAGCCCGGAGTGGCTCCGGACGCGAGCCCGCTCAGCGGACCTTTCGCGAGGCTTGGTGGTCCCTCTTCGCTGGTCTCCTCAGGTCGTAGTCAGGTTTCTTCGACACACACCAACCGAAGTTGAAGCGCGTGTACCGAGAGCGCCGACTGGGAGCCTTATATAGGCTGAACCGAGGAGGGGGGCGCCAAATCCCAGCGTGCTCCGCGGGTTAGGGGGGCGGAGGGGGGAGCGGGGGCGGAGGGGATGGGGGATGGGGGGTGGGGGAGATGGGGGTGGGGGCGATGGCCACGCTACTCTGGCCCGCCGCTAGAGGGAGCACGGGATTAAGGAGGGGGTGCAGGATGCTGATGCTGAACTGGCCAAGCTGGGAGGAAAGAAGAAAGGGAGGGGAGTGGAGAATCGAGGACGGCCCGGCCTAGGCAGGCCAAGAATGCAATTGCCCTGGTGGTGGGAGCTGGGAGACCCTTGTGCTTGGACGGGACAGTGTCGGGGGACACGCAGGATGAGCCCCGCAACCACTGGCACCTTCTTGCTGACAGGTTAGTGGCCCGCGCGCGATGGGAGGTCCTGGGGCCAACAGGCCGCCGCTTCCCCATCCCCCGCCCGGGTTTTGGGTACCCGGGTGCATTTTCTGGGCATCAGCCCCTCTTGCTGCGGAATCCCCAGTGCACCCCTCCTCCAGGACGCCCCGCACCCCACTTCCCGGGCCCTGTACGTCCCCTACCAGGCTTGACCCCTGGCCTTTTTTCTCCGCGCCCCCTGCGGGCCCCTCCCTGCCCGGAGGCGCCGAAATTCCATCTCCAATTTCCATTCCCATTGCTCCCCCACCCCACCCCCAGCAGTCCTGGTGGTGAACCTCTCCCGATCCCTGCCTGAAAGAGCTGGGGGTCGTTGACCATTTCGGGGTGGGGGTTGTGGCTTACCCCGCGAATGGGGCTCTGCGGCCCAGAGGCGCGCCGTAGGAAATGGGTGTCAAGCTGCGCCCCCCTCTACACAAACGCATCTTTTTTTTCCTTTTCTTGAATCCGATCTGGAGAGAACACAAAATGTGCATTTGAAACGCCTAATTCTCCCCTCTTTCTAAGAGAATTTCTCGGCGACGGAAATCTCGTTTTTCTTAGGTTTTGCGGAGCAGGGAAAAGGAATCATGAAACGCTAGGAGCCAAACAGGGTGTTGAGGTCAGGTTAACCTCGGCTGGGGGCCAGAGATGCTGCAAACAGAACGGTTTGCCCCACCAAGTGCACTATTTCGAGAAAGCAAAAACAATTAGAAACAGCTGTGGATGCCTCCAGTGTAGTTGGCGGGCTTCGGAGGCTCCCAGCTACGGCCTTGTGGTGGTGATTACGAGGTTTACGCAGAGACCTAGATCTCTCTGCAACATTACATTTTTCTAAATCTTGTAGGGTGAATGAATACATTTAGTCACGGTTACCGCACGTTTAATCCTTTGAAGCGTGTTGCCGAGATTCGGCCGCAAATATTTGTGTATATTTATACATATAAACATATATATTTTACGTTAGAGAAAATTGCAGTGAGTTACAAGACTTCAAAATACTGATGAGGAAGGATGCTGGAAAAAAAGCCTTAACGTGGGTTTCCATTTAAGTGCCTCAGAGTGTTACGCACTGAGGAAAGGGACAATCTGTTGATAATCTTAGTAAAAGAAGTTTAAAATGAAAAACCAGTTGCCTACAACTGAGTGAGGTTCCTGAAACACAGATGAGACACAGTTGTATATAAAGGCTAAAACTGAGCATATTTCAGTAACATTGCTACAGATTATTTTATACATAGAGGATAGATAAGAATTTGACCCATTGTAGGAGGATAGATAAGAATTTGACCCATTGTAGATGATACGATGGCAGAGATCTCACTTAAAGCGAGCCTTTCTAGGAGTAAACAGAACTGTAGCACATTTATTGAGATTCTACTTTTTAATCAGAAATAAAATGTTGACTATCAGATATGTGAATGAATGAAGTGCAGATTTCCAACACTGAAAGATATTTTTCTAGGAAGTTGGGTGAACATAATTATACTGTTAGAAGTGCCTAGTGCCTTTTAATGTTTAGGATGTTCACTCTTTTCTGCAATGTAGAATTTCAGGATTTCTTATGTATGCTAGAGTACTGTTCTGGTGACCTCCGGACTGTCAAATTCTTAGCATTTTTAATCCAGGAGAGTTACTTCATCTACTTGTTTGTTAACTGATAGACATTCTTTTTTCTAAAAAATGAAATTAAAAAATAGTATAGGTGATAGAGAAAATTCAGGTTTAAAAATCTATCCCAAGACTTTTAAAGTTTGAACAAGTTTGAACCTATTTGAATTTTTATTTCAAAATGTTAGCCAGGATTTTTTTTTGGTGGGGGGTGTGTTTGTGGAAAAAAAACAGCTTTAGTATTATCCTTATCATAATAAAAGTAATTCCTATTCATTGTACAAAATTTAGGGAAGAAAAACTCCAGAAACTGGGGGGAAAAAAATCAAGAAGAAAATCAAGATCACCTGTAATCTCTTCATCCTGCGATAACCCCAGTAAACATTATGGGCTCTACTTTATCTATGCATATATATGTGCCTAAATAATATACATTTTTTTTGCACATGTATAATTTCTAAAAATTGAAAATGGGATCAAATTAATTTTCCTCCATTTTTTCTCTTCAAGGAGCCTTAACTATCTAATAACATTAAATTTGCAGAGTTTTTTTTAAAAGGAAATAGTATTAATTACTTTTTCTAATTAAAATTCTAAATGAACAACATTGGTACAGAAATATTTAAAACCAAAGAATAGAGAGTTTCCTCTGATCTCACTATTCTAACATACACATAGTAATCATTTGTTATATTTCCTTGTGTTTTTTATTCTTCTACATATGAAATAATTTTTGCTCAGAAATAGATTTTTCTAAGGAAAAAACAACATCAGTAGATAAGTAGTTTTGATAAAACTTTTTAATCCAAAGCAGCAAAACAATGTTAAACATAAAAACAAAAATACAATGTTAATAGATAAATACTTGAGATAACATGTTACCTAAAACAACAAAACTACACCCCCCAACTTAATAGACAGGAATTTAAAACACTTTCTTGACATTTGATATCATGAGTGAATTTTGGAGTTTCTCAGATATTTGTTCCCAGTGTTGTTGGTTTCTTACCCGTTTTGCACAAGATTACACGCAAAGCAAAAAGAGGTGCTAATGTGCATTATATACTTTATCAAATAATAACTGGGCATTGCATCTGAACATTTTAATCCATTTTTATGAGAATTTCCTGTGGATCTATGAAGCTGTTGATTTACCACCTGTATTTTAACTTCTAGTGTAGTGGGAAAATTGTATTTAAAAACAAAGTGGGATTTTCACTTGTCAAATAATAGCTAGAGTTTCTAATTGGACGTTTTATTTATTTAAGACAATTTGCCATGTATCTGTGAAGCTGTTGATTTGCCTTATATGTTCAGCTTAATTTCTTGGGTGGTGGGAAAATTGTATTCCAAAACAATAAAGTTGAATTTTCACTTGTCAAATAATAACTGGACTTTCTAGTCGGACATTTTATCTATTTTAGATGACAGGTTGCTGTGGCTCTATGAATCTGCTGATTTACCACATGCATTTGACTTACCTTTTAGTATATTAGGAAAAATTCATTTCTAAGCAAAGTAAAATTTTCAGCTGTCAAATATTAACTGGACTTAGTACTTGATCATTTTATCCATTTATTATAAGAGTTTGCCATAAATCCAAAAACTGTTGCTTTACCTCATATATTTAGTTTAAATTCTAGTATGGTGGACAAATTGTTTTTCTAAGCAAAGCGGAATTTTCACTTGTCTCTCAGACATTGAAAATTAGCAAGGGACAGTGAGAAAATCGATGAGAGAGAAAAGTAACACGTATCCAGTTTCTAGCACTGGTTTTCACTGATAAAAACTATGCTCCAAACAAAGTGTTGAAGCATTGAAGAAACCCTGACATGTTAAAAAATTCTCAATCTGATATACAGATTGGTTGGTATTGTAATAAGTGCAATATTTATGGATCACATTTTCTCCAAAATAACCAGCTACTTTGTTTCTTTTTCTTTTTTACTAACCCTCCACGCTTACTCTATCTGATCCCTTTTCTTAAAACTTACCGTTAAGTCAGTTCTAAACACCGAAGTGTAAATTCTATTGTTGGTCTTATTTCCTACTCTTAGTGTAAAAAAGGACTGTAAGTGAATAGATGACATGGTTTATGTGTCGGTTAGAGATTCTTGGTCTGGAGCTCTGTTTAAGTCCAGAGCTTCACAGAAGTATTAACATTGTGATTTTTTTTCTTTCTATCCTTTCCAATCCCTCCATCAGAGACAGAGAGACAGGCATGATAGAAAGACAGATACACATGGGTAGGCAGATAGACAGACGGACAAACATGGACAGATAGACAGACACTTGGGCACACACACACGCATGACATCCAGGCTTTTTCTAAACTTTAGGATCCAGTTCTCCAGTTTGCTATCTCCCTGATTTCTAAAAATATTAAGCCAAAAGCATCAGTGCATAATTCAGAAAAGGAAGCTGGTGTTTCTAAAGATCAACAAGTATTTTTCAGGTTGGTAGAATCAGATAGAGTCTCAATGCTCTTAAAGTTGTTCCACATGAACTGCTTCCGAACTGCTTCCAAGCAAAATTCTGTCTAAGCAAAATTCGGTTTTTTTAAACAATGTAACTATAGTAAAGACAGTATTGAATAAAAAACAATCTCCACCATCTGACACTAGAAGAAACATTTCCATTGATGTTCCTTCCCTTCTAGTCTTTGTTCCATGTGCATATATATTTTTACATGACTATAATTTTAATATGTGTAGATTTTTTACAGTTTGCTTTGAAAGATAAGTGAATCTTGCTTTCAGCTAAGCATTTGTCAAGGCTTTAGGATGTTCTTGTGTGTGAGATGCTGTGTTAGACTAGCAGGATTGCTTTGTGAGCATGAGGCAGGCTGAGCCAGTACCCACCAGGTGTGGGGTTTACTGGGTTTGGGTCTGGGAGTGGTCCCTCGTGAAGGATCACAAGTCTTTGCCCTAGGTCTTCTCTTTTTCAACATTTTTATGGATAACTGTGATGAAGATCTAAGAGGCTTGCTTTAAAATCCATGGTTGACTTGAAAAAAGGTTAACTGTTACAAATAGATAACAGAATTTAGAGTTAACAAGGTTTAAGTAGGCTGTAGTGCTATTCAAAAATATATTTTATAGCAGTAAATGCATCATAATTCATTGGTGTGTAAGGCAGGAGGTGACTTTCCATGGTGGCAGTTTTTGAGGAAAAGGACAGTTAGTATGAACTGGTGGCATAACATGGCTACAAAAATATCAAATTTAGATTCCGATAATAGTGTAGTGTCCATATGTCACAAAAATTAACAGTACCCTGCTCTAATTAACCACATCTGTAGTATTGTGTCCATTTCTGGCTGTCACGTTTAAAGAGAGACATTGACAAAGTAGACAACTTCCAGAACAGTC